TCAGCTTTTAATACCTCACCATTTTTTCTGCCTTTTCTTTTTCAATCCTGCTGCACCAGAGTCCCATTTGCAGTTTTAAGTGACCTACTTAATTAGAATTTGGAATGCTCAGACAGAAGAGTGTTTGTCTACATTCTATTTTGCTCAACAACCTTATTAATGAATTCAATTTCTACTTCAGTTTGCTAAAAACCATACACCTTAAGCAGTTCCAAAATCCAAATATCTAGGTTTCATTATGGTTATGAGATAGTCAGGTGTCAGGACACTTTGGTTCTCCATCCAACTCTGCTGCTAACTGCTGTGCAATCTTGGCTTCTATAAAGAAGTTAGACTCTCGGGTCCTTTATGGCTTTAGGTCTCCGTGAATATTTTTTGAGCACCTACCATGTACAAAGCACTGACTATAAACAAGGTGTGGGAGGAGGTACAAAGATGAATTGATGTTGCCCTATCATTGTGACCTTTGCACTCTACTAGGGAAGAAATTATACACAAGATCAAATGCCACAGTTACCTACTTTATCCTTATCTTTATTCTTATCTCTCCCTTACACAGAGCTATACTAGAGCCAACCAGATCCCCTTGCTGCATCTCAGATATTACTCCTAATTTTTTCCTCCATGCCCCCATTCATGCTATTCTTCATACTGAAATGTCCTCCAATCCCAACATAATCCAATTCCAATATCCTTCAAGACCCAGTTCAGATTTCTCTTACTTTATAAAAGAGGGCTTGTGAACCCTTTCCTGATCCCTCCAATCTCAAGTGCTCTCTATTAATCTTTAAAACCCCATGGGATTTATTGACATTTCTCTTGTGGTACATATGCTATTTGGCCCTACACTAGTGGGTAATATCTTTATCTCAAGATAATAATCTTTGACATCAGAAACTATATTGTTCATCCACATTATCAAGTAAATGAAAGGTATTCAGTAGATTATTCTAACAGGACAAATACAAAAAGCACACTCTGAGACATAAAAACTAACTAAACAATGGTGCTAAGTTAGGAATAATTGTGACATGTCTAAAATGATGACTATTCCAGTTTGACTTTTTATAAGGTTTAGTTTGTGGAATGATATGGGTTAAGCTCAGAAGGCAGGTTGGAGTCAGATTATTTAGAGCCTTGAATGCCAAGCTAATAAAAATGGAATATATTCAGTTCTCAGTCACAGTCACTGATGGTTTTAAGCACTAGAGAGTAACAGGACCTAAAACCAGAAGCCTTATAGTTTACCCTGTCTCCAATTTGGCTGGAGATGTGTCCACCTCTGGAAGAGAAGTTGACTCTCAGGAGCTGACAAAATTAAATGTGAACCCACAGATCTGTGAGTCTGGAAAACTCACTAAGCCAAATACTGTTTTGTAGGCTTCCTGGCAACAAATATTTGAATTCCCATTTCAGTAAACGAATATATACCCACACCAAAACAACCATTACTAAATTTCTAAACTGGTAAAAAAGAGAAGATTCTATTATATTCGTTGAGCATCTCAAATCCAAAACTCTGGAATATGAATTGCTCCAATGAGCATTTCCTTTGAGCATCATATTGGCACTCAAAAAGTTTCAAATTATGAAGCATCTCAGGTCTTGAATTATTGAATTTTGGATATTCAACCTGTGTATGTACATACAAGTTGGGGTGTGGGGGGTGTAATATATGTGTATGTGTACATGCATATACATGTGTGCACAACATGTTGTTTTCCCTGAAATAGCAGCATATATATATACATATATATATATATATATTTTTTTTTTTTTTTTTTTTTTTTTTTTTTGAGTTGGGGTTGCACTCTGTCATACAGGCTGGAGTACAGTGGTATGATAATTACTCACCACAGCCTTGACCTCCTGGGTTCAGGCCATCCTTCCACTTCAGCTTCTCAAGTAGCTCGGACTGCAGGCATGCACTGTCATGCCCAGCTAACTTTTTTTGTGTTTTTGTAGAGACAAGGGCTTGCTATGCTGCTCAGGCTGGCATCGAACTCGAACTCCTCAGCCATTGTGCCTGGCCAGCATCACATACTCTTCAGTAAATTTCTACTAGAAGCTGGGCTCGGTGGCTCAGCCTATAATCACATGCTTTGGGAGACTGAGGTGAGTGGATTGCCCGAGCCCCTGGGTTCAAGACCTGCATGGGCAACTTGGTGAGACCTCATCTCTACAATAAATCAAAAAATTAGCCAGTAGTGCGTGCCTGTAGTTCCAGCTACTTGGAAGGCTGAGGCGGAAGGATCGCCGGAGCCCAGCAGTTCGAGACTGCGGTGGCCGAGAGCATGCCACTGTACTCCAGTATGGGCGACAAAGTGAGACTCCAACTCAAAAAAAAAAAAATTCTACTAGAGGTTTCTGACAATAATATATACAATATGCAGTATTATTTATTATGTTCTAAAATTGTATGGTAGTGCAAAATGGCAACTCAGTTTTCGAGGCTTAGCAAAGTTGCATGCTTACAGCTCTAGTTTTCATTTTCACCATTGTATATACTATTCCACTGTATTTACATATCATATCTCATTTAACTATTTTCCTGTTGTTGGACATTTAGGTTATTTTTAAAGTTTATTTATGGAGAATAATGCTATAACAAGCAATCCATGTATATGTGTAAGATTTCATGAGGTTATATATCTAGCAGTAGACTTATTTGGGTGAATTTACATTTAATAAATATTGTCAAACCAGTATTTAAAGTGGTTGTATCATAGTCACTATCTTTTAAACATTTAAGAAATTCTAACATCTTATACATATACCTATAACCCTTGTGTGTCTAAATGGTATACTTATATTCTTACATACACACACACACACACACACACACTCACACACCAACTTCAGGATTATACATCATTCCCTCTGGAGTAAGAGGGAAAGAAATGAGATTGGTCACAGAGGGGCCCATAAAGCATTTCAATTATATTTATAATGTTTTATTTCTTCAGTTATGTAGTAGGTACATAAGTGCCCATTATATCATCCATATTTTTTTGTGTATAACTAAAATATTTCTAGGGACTTCTGTTAAAATTGGGGAAATTAAACTCAACATTTCAATTTGCTTTGTCTCAAAGCACAACTAAAGGATCACTATCCTATATCCAAACTTTCAAACTATATGAATTAGAGAATTCAGAATTCTTAGGATTTTATTATAGAAAGGTATCATGATAAAATACCATACATTATATTACACCATCAGTGGGACTAGCAATCAAAAGAAGGTCAAAATAAGTACTTGGTGTTATTCTGGCTATTGTTCTTCTCTCAGGACAAACATCCTTTCTTCTCTCAGCCTGGCTCTATACAAATAGCCCTCGCTTCTCAAACCTATGCTGATTCCTTTTCAAGAGAAGAGACTAAAAGCAAGTGGATGGGGACATCAGGAAGCCTCTGAGACAACTAAGCAAGAATCTAGATTTTTAAATACCTAGAATTAGCCTGGGCAATATAGCAAGAACCTGTCTCTGCAAAAAAAAAAACAAAAAACAAAAAAAAACAATTAGCCAAGCATAGTGGTGCATACTTGAAATCCCAGATACTCTGCTCAAGTAACTGAAGCAGGAAGATCATTTGAGCCCAGGAGCTCAAGGCTGTAGTGCGTTAGGAATGTGCCTGTGAATAGCCACTGCACTCCAACCTGGGTGACAGAGCGAGACCCTATCTCTAAACAATTTTTTTTATAAATACCTGGAATTTATCTAATGTTTAAATACCTGGAATTTCCCTGAGCACTAGTGCCCACTGCTCGGTAGTCCTCACCAACTAATGGGGCATGTGTACCACCTGATTCCTCCTGAACCCATAGTCTGCTTTATTTAAGCTGTTGTTAGGCAGAACACTGAGAATGACTCAGTTCAACATCCCATCCCACGCTCAGTCCCATCCCACGCTCAGTTCCACCTCCCCAAAGCCAGGATTAGATATAATACACATATACACATAAGTACACAGACATATTCATAACCACGCTAAGGCAGATTTCCTCTCATTGACTTCCTACCTTAAATGATTAACCTTGCCTCTACTTGGTCCCTTGCTCATCTGTCCCCCACTGTCACCACTCCTCCCCAGGAGCCCTGCATTTCTAATGCTGCTGGCATCCTGCTGCCTCCCACTCCCTGGGTTTGGCTGCTCTTCAGTCCCAGCATGATAAATCATCAGCCTCAAGAAGTGATGAATACCAACTTGCTTTCGAGAGCTGACACTGAACAATCTTTTTACTTTTATTTCTGATTAATCTGACATTAAAAAAGTAAAGAACAGTTGGGCTCGGTGGCTCAGCCTGTAATCCCGCGCCTTTGGGAGGCTGAGATGAGTGGATTGCCTGAGCCCGCGGGTTCGAGACTCGCCTGGGCAGGCGAGACCTCATCTCCATAATAAATCAAAAAATTAGCCGGGCGTGGTAGCACGCGCCTGTAATTCCAGCTACTAGGAAGGCTGAGGTGGAAGGATTGCTGGAGCCCAGCAGGTCCAGGCTGCGGTGGCCGGGAGCGGCCACTGCACTCCAGTCTGGGAGACAGAGTGAGACTCCAACTCAAAAAAACAAAAAAACAACAAAAAAAAGTAAAGAACATTATGTTTGCCTTATGTCGAATTAAACAACTGTTATAGTAATCAGAATCTCCTGGCTATTATCACAGATAAATGAATTGATGTCAGCAGGATAAACAACGCTCAATTCTCTGAATATCAAGTTCAGTAAGCACAAACACCTACCTGTAAAAAGATGAGAAGAAATATCTCCTCTCCCCTGTAAATACCAAGTGTCCCAGCCAATCGCCTCAGGGTTAGTCAGGCTTGTTTGTTTATTGTATTTGCTAAATTCCAGGGCTCCCACAGAGCAAACACAAAGGAAATCAGGTGTGTCCAAGTGTTTTCAAGGAATGCTTGACCATCTTTCTCTGAAGGTAAGCAGGAACTCAGCTTTGGAAAAAGATTACAGCAAACCAAGGGAGAAAGGCAGCAGCCCTACTTACCATAGAAGAGGAAAGCTTTGGTCATGTGATGATAGAAGTAGGTCCGGTTGATGGTGAAGAAACAGGCGTCCGCTCCACACTGGCCTAACCTTCCAGTTTCCCCAGTCAGTGGGGACCACCAGAGCATTATGGGATAGCTATCTACTTCCCACTTTTTTTCTCTATTTAAGGTCAGTGCTTCTTTCTTAAGGAATGGAATAAGCTGTTTAGGCACTTCCTCCATTTTTGCATGTCCATCTTGCAAATTGGAATTTGTTAACTTCTTCCTTTCAAATTTTCCCAGCTCAACTACTACCTAAAAGAGAAGACAGTTATTATCAGAGTCAGACTGTTTAGTTTTTTTTGGCACATCTCCCACTCATCTTGATGACTGAGACTCTTACTAGTTTTCAATTGCTACTGTAATAAAGCGCTACAAACAGTAATTTAAAATAACACAGGGCCAGTGTGGTGGCTCACACCTGTAATACCAACACTTTGGGAGGCCAAGGTGGGGGGATTGCTTGAGCCTAGGAGTTTGAGACCAGCCCGGGCAACATAGTAAGATTTCCTCTCTACAAAAATTCAAAAAAAAAAAACTAGGCAGGCAAAATGGCACACCCCTGTAGTCCCAACCACATGGGAGGCTGAGGTGGGAGAATCACCTGAGCCCTGGAGGTCAGGCTGGGGTGAGCTATGATCGTATCACTGTGATCATAGCCTGGGTGACAGAGTAGGACCCCTGAATTAAGTAAATAAATAAATAACAGATTTATTATCATACAGTTCTAGAGGTCAGAAGTCTGAAATGGGTCTCACTGTGCTAAAATCAAAGACTTAGCAGAGTTTGTTCCCTTCTGGAGACTTTAGGAGGGAATCCATTTTCTTGGCTTCTCTATCTTTTAAAGGCCGCCCATGATTCTTGGCTCATAGCCTCCTCCCTCCATCTTCAAAGCCAACAACATTGCATTTCTCTGACTCTTCTGGTGTGATCTCTCCCTGTGGCCACAGCCAAGAAAGGCCCTCTACTTTTAAGAGTTCATGCAATTACACTGGGTCTACATGAATAATTCAGGATAGTCTTCCCACATGAAGGTATGTCATATTGATGCCATCTGCAAAGTCTCTTTTGTCATATAAAGGAACATATTCACAGGCTCCAGAGATCAGGGCATGGACACAGCCTCTAAAATATCTACCAATGAGGTGACCTAATAATTCTACTAAACACTTAGAACAGATATATTTTCCCCCGATTTCATAAGTACTTATAGCATCCAGAAATAGTTATGTCACTTAACGAAACCTATGATAAGGTTTATTATTCAACTACTACTAGAGATTATACTCTAGAAAAAATGAGTTACAAATTACCAACTGGTTTATTTTGATTTATTTATCTATTTTTTGAGTTGGAGTCTCACTCTGTCACCCAGACTGGAATGCAGTAGCAGGATTATGGCTTACCACAGCCTCTACCTTCTGGGCTCAGGTGATCTTCCCACCTCAGTCTCTCGAGTTGCTGAGACTACAAGCTTGCACCACCATGCCTGGCAAATTTTTTTTTTTTTTTTTTGTAAAGATGAGGTCTCACTATGTTGCCTAGGCTGGTCTCAAACTCCTACGTTCAAGTGATCCTCCTGCCTTGACCTCCCAAAGTGCTGGGATTACAGGTGTGAGCCACCACACTCAACCTAGTTCATTTTTGCTATAATTTAAAAAGTTATAATATGGGTTTTATGTTTCTAGTAATACTCACTACAGCATCAAAGAAATATTGCCTGGATTCTATGTTATCAACATAGTAGACCATGAGTACTGGGCTTCCACTAACTCCTACTTAAAGCCATTTTTTTAAATTTAATTCAGATCTAGTCTGGGTCAGTGGACAGTTAGGCCATTAGTAACAGTAATCTGGAGGACAAGGTGGGTGTGATGCTCACCAAAAGTGCTATCTTTTCATCAAACTTTAAGATTTAATATTATGGCCAAGTGTGGTGGCTCACACCTATAATTCCAATACTTTGGGAAGTCGAGGTGGTAAGACTGCTTGAGTCCAGGAGTTCAAGAGTAGCCTGGGCAACATAGTGAGACCTCATCTCTACAAAAAAAAATGAAAAATTAGCCAGGCATGGTGGCGTACACCTATAGTCCTCGCTGCTCAGTAGGCCAAGGCAGGAGGATCGCTTCAGCCCAAGAGTTCAAGCCTGTGATAAGCAGTGATTGCACCAGCCTACGTGACAGAGTGAGGCTGCAACTCAAAAAGCAATTAAAAATTAAAAAGATTTGATATTGTGCTGAGCATGGTGGCACTTGCCTGTAGTCCTAGCTTATTCAGGAGGCTGAGGCAGGAGAGTTGCTTGAACCCAGGAGTTCTAGGCTTTAGTAAAGTACAATCATGCCTGTGAATAGCCACTGCTCAGCCTGGATGACAGTGTAAGACCCTGTCTCTCTAAAAAAAAGAAAAAAAAAAAAAGATTTGATGTTGATATGTCACTATAAAAATATGAAAGCATTGATTGCTTCACATGTAAATGAATTTTTAGTAGTCAGACCATGAAACAAATCAAACAGTTAAGGCAGGCACATTTATATTTTTACATGTTAACTCCTCCACCTGTCAGCCACACATTGCGTTCCCTGTATGTCCCTCTGACTCTACTTTTAGCAGCCAAGTGTGGTGCCTTTTTTAAGTGCTTGCTGCTTCTGGTGTTAGAAAAAGGTCACTGACCATTGATGCATAACATGGAGTCTGTAACTCCCTGGGGAGGACCCATGACTGTCATTAGATTCTCAAAGGTATCCAAGGCCAAAAACACACACACACACAAAAAGAACCATTGAGTGAAAGCCAACTAGTTTTCCAAAACAAGTAAGGAAATAATTATACTAGATTTTTAAAATCATGGATCACCCATGACACCAAAGTCAGCATCACAATGGCAAAACTATGACTCAAAACTAAACCTAACTGCTGCCAATATTGTCACCATTCTTTTTATTCTTTTCTTTTTTTTTTGAGTAGGAGTCTCACTCCATTGCCTAGGCTGGAGTGCATTGGCACACTCAAAGTCACTCCAGTGTCAACCTGCTGGGCTCCGGTGATCCTTCTACCTCAACCTTCCAAGTAGCTGGAACTACAGGCCCGTGCTAACTACACCAGGCTAATTTTTTTATTTATTGTAGAGATGAAGTCTCGCCAAGTTGCCTGGACTGGTCTCGAACCTGCAGACTCAGGCAATCCACTTGCCTCAGCCTCCCAAAGTGCTGGAATTACAGGCTGAGCCACCAAGGCCGGCCATCAGCATAAGGTAACAATGTGGCTCTTCCCTAGTAGTTTGATAGAATGGAGTTGTCTTGTAGCTACACACTATCTTTTCATCTGACCTATACTCAGTCACTTAAAAGAAAGGCTTTTAGAAAGCTATAGGCCAAGCACCGTGGCTCATGCCTGTAATACTACCACTCTGGGAAGCAAAGGCGATAGGATTACCTGAGCCCAGAGATTTCAGACCAGCCTTGGCAATACATTGAGATCCCATCTCTACAAAAAAATTAGCTGGGTGTGGTGGTGCATGCCTGCAGTCCCACTTACTCAGAAGGCTGAGGCAAAAGGACTGACTGAGCCCAGGAGGCCGAGGCTGCCATGAGCTGTGATCGTGCCACTACACTCTAGCCTGGGAGACAGATTGAGACCCTGACTCAAAAATAAAATACTTCAAATGTATACATGAAGTATTTATACAACTAAAAAGTAAGTAAAAATTAAAAATAAATAAAAGTAAATATACATTCAAAGAATTTACAGACAGTATATACAAAATATAGATAAATATGAATGAAAAAATAAGTCTAGAATGAATGATTTTTTTTTCCAAGCAACTACAGTGTTTTAGTTGAACTGTGGGTAAATATAACATTTTCATGTTTAGATTATCATTAATTAAATAACTTATTTTATAGACTGTCATGGGCTGAATTGCAAACCCCCAAAATTTATATGTTGAAGTCCTGACTTCCACTATCTTAGAATGCGACTGTATTTAGAGATAGGGTCTCAAAAAAAGCAATTAAGTTCATAGACGAGCCCTAATCCAATATGACCGGTGTCCTTATAAAAAGGGGAAATTTAGGCCAGGCTCGGTGGCTCAGCCTGTAATCCCAGTACTTTGGGAGGCTGAGG